CAATATAACTCTGTGTATGCGAGTTCAAGTTCCTTTGGGTAGAATCGGCGTATGTAGCATCCATCGAGGCACGGCCAAGTGAATCCAAGGCCAGAAGATCAAGTGCCGGTTGAGCTGAACGTCGACGATCTGGGGAAAAGTCCTGAGGCTAATCGATGGTGCTTTTCTTAGCCGAACTTTCTTGTCTTGATGCGCACGTGGTAGCTGATGAAATTTGATTCGGTGCTTGTGCGACAGCTTGGCGCAAACGAAGAACCAGCTTCTCATTCTGTTCTTTAACCAACTTCAGCTCTCTACTGAGTCGATATTGTCTGGCTGCAGATGGCGATGAATGTCCAGTGAAGGCAAATGGCCTTGTTTCGTGATCGTCAGCTGGATCGCATACTTGATCAAGATGCTCGAATAGATTAGGTTGGGGCGACGGTGGAAATAGATAATCGTCTTGTTGAGATTTTATCTTGGATCTTTACTTGGATTTCTGTGACATGACTGCTTACGAAAGTGGAACACAAAACGTTAGAGATTGACTAAGGTCGAGAGGACGGTCGTTCCGGAGTGAGATGAAAGCGTTGACTGGCCCGAAACTGGCTCGGCGATAGAGCGATCTGAAACCCGATACACTGAAACTAAGAATAACGGGTCAGGAAGGGTGTTTTCTATGGCAATTATTCATCATCACTCCGGGTGATCACTGTACCATTGCCTTACATGTAAGCAATAGGCAGCGTATTTTTCTTATTCCTCGTGTAGCGATAGGCCTAATTTGAACTTCGATCTTCAGAAATGATTAATAAAGATGGTTCATGTACTAGTTTGCCACAAACGAGGGTCAAAGCAAGCTGACCTCCCGGCCCATGAGGCCTGGTTTTCCAAACAGTACTGGTAATCAGTGCCTAACACATTCTCGGCGACTGTTTCAAATTCTTAGATTTTTTAATTTCAGCGAGAGCAAATGATTCCGTTATACACGGCATTGACTAGTTTAACACAACACGGAAGAAAGAGCCAAAGCAAATTCAGCCGTCGCTTACGCTAATTCGGCTTTGCAATGGCCAGAATGTTCCGTTCCGTTCTCTCGGAAATCCTATGATGTATCATATTATCCGATCTATAGAATTCCCCTGGAAACCTTTAACAATTACTTTGAATCTTGAATTTCAGCTGAAATATTTCCTGGTCATTGTTATTTGATGAAGTTAATGTTTTTGTTTTTTCGTTGTCCATTTATCAGCGTTAATTCTGTTTCCATGATTCATGATTCAATTGGAAAATCTTGGCCCTTTCACCTGTTTTTTTCTTTTCGAATGAGGATGGGAAAGCATTTGTGCAAGGGACCTTTCCTATGAGATGGTACCAATTGCAATATGATTTTTTCAGGGTTTAAGCCCTTAATCAATTGAAATCCAACCTTTCAAGGTTGTAGCGGTTCCCAGATGGAACAGGTGAACCATGGTGTGGTCTCATAGCCACTGGTGAAATCGCACGAATTCCAATCATTAATCGCTAATAAATACCGTAAACCAGTGCACTCAGAGACATTCCTTTTTATTTATATTTATTGTCACTAACCACTGTTTGTAAATACAATCAGTTCCGGTACTCCACTGGTTGTAAAAAGGAAAAAAATGACTCCGACATGGTAAATGCTAGGTGGCATTTTCATTCTGGAAATTGAAAAAAAATTTCATCAATTCATATATTTTCTCAATATCATTCACTAAACGTTCCCCTTTCGTTTTGCACCAACTCTGCCATAATGTTAGAACAATGCTTGAACTCTCACGAGAGATTGCCATGTTACTTCCTATAGAAAATTATACAGCAAGCATTTGATGAAAGAAGGCGATTTTATCATCCAGCTGAAGTAATCTAAAATAGTATTTAGGAAAACGTAAAGTAGAGTTTTAATGTAATATTGGTGAATGAAGTATTTTAAATCGAGTTTTAAAAAAGCTTTTTCATTTTCTGGAAAATTAACTTACTCGAAACCATTAATGTCTATAACGGAGTTATATTTTTGTGTTTTACATGTCACCTTACCAGAACAAGCTTTTGCTTTGATTTCTTCAATCTTCTCTTTAAGTTTGTCGAAGTCCTCCACCTGTACCACGTTACCTCCACCAGCGATCTGTTTCAGGGTTTCTATTTCTACCCTCTTCAGGTTAGTAGCGATTCGCTAAAATGCAAGTAAGTTTCTGTACCTATACTTTACCAACATAGGCACTTTCCTGTGCCTGTAATTGAAATAAGCAAGCGTAAAGGCAGTATTATTTTTGTCCTGTAGCGATTGATGGTGGATACAGTGAGTGGTCTGAGTCTGAGTGCAGTGTGACATGTGGAGAAGGGGAAAAAATGCTGACAAGAACCTGCACCAATCCTCCGCCATCCTATGGTGGAAAGGACTGCAATGGGTGAGGGCCAGCTGAAAAGACTGTTCCGTGTAACGAAGGAGATTGCCGTAAGTATTTTTACTGTGAACTTGACAGTCCTATGGTTAATGTAACTTTAGCAAAGGAACCCATCTGAACTTGCAGCTTTTGTCTTGTTGTGTCAATGTAGCGATTGATGGTGGATACACAGATTGGTCTGAGTCTAAGTGCAGTGCTACATGTGGAGGAGGGAAAAATACACTAAGAAGAACCTGCACCAATCCCCCGCCATCTAACAGTGGAAAGGATGCAGTGAGCTGGGGCCAGCTGAAAGGAGAGTTTCATGCAATGAAGTAGAGTGCCGTTAGTCTTTTGATTGCTGCTTTACGTGTGTTGTATTACATCGGAGAAATATTTTTTAACTACATGGCCACGCTCACCTTAAGTAAAACCACCATCTTCGCTCTGCATCGACATATGAAACCCCTGATACCATACAAAAAGTTTTGTCAGATTGTCTGTGTTTGATATATTTTCCATCAGTAGTTTCTAATTAGTAAAAGATAAAGTTTCCGAAATAAAACTCGGTTGATCATAAGTTTGACTTTGTTGTGAACAATATAAATATACTTTAAAGAAAGCATTAGAAAGACTATATTCAAAAAAGAAAAGAAACAAGTTATCATTACAGTTTTTTTCTTTTGCTTGGAAGCAATCTAAACTTACCCAAGGTTAATATTGATTTGTTAAAATACAAGTAAATTGTCTTGCTTACACTTTAAAAGTTATCACTTAAATAGGCAAGCATAAGCTTAGTATCATTTGTGTCGTACAGCGATTGATGGTGGTTACACTGAGTGGACTGAGTCTGAGTGCAGTGTTCCATGTGGAGGAGGAACACAACTACTTACAAGAACCTGCACCAATCCTCCGCCAGCTTACGGTGGAAAAGACTGCAGTGAGCTGGGCCCAGATAAAAAGAAAGTTTCATGTAACA